TTCTTTTTCCAATCCCCATCCAATTTCCAAGCAGATATTTGACATTATTCATGGTACGCAGGTACCTTTCCGCAATAAATCTTTTTCACATTGTACGATGAAAATTTGTTATTAACTCTGCTAAGTAACATACTGCTGTAAATTTTCAAGCTAGATAAAACTTCCTTCCAATAGTTATTTTTTATGAACTATTCGGCACCATTTACTAACAACATATTTATCATTTAAAGATTATTTTCGATTGCTTTACTCACCCACTGTTACAGATACTGTGTACAATGGAATGATAACGTAATTGACTTAGGTTTTGACGTTATGTTTATACCAAATATAAATATATAATTTAAATAGAAATTACTTCATCCTCATGGGTTCCAAACTAAATTAATTAAGAATCAAGCAAGTTGAAATTCCGAATGACTCAGATAGAGCTGATAATAGATTGATTTACATTACTGTACATGAAATATCAAAATCCCATGTAACATTACTTCTGATTTGACATTGTTGAATTCAAATAAGACGCCATCACGCATATCATGTTTTAAGACGGGACTAAGGAGAATGTCGGAAATATATCATGGGCCATAAGAGATACCGGAACAACTAAAAAAATACACAAAATTTGACCTGCTCAGAGTTCAAACTTTATTAAACAAGGTTTGTATAAAGAGGGTTCTTATATAATTAATAATTTTATGGGTGATAATAACCCCTGGGAATCTTGATGATTCTTCCCAGGACAAGGGTTTTTTTCCGAACCAATGGTAAATAAACAAAAGAGTGGCTTTCAGTAAATATTATATATAATCTATATTAAATAAAAAAGTTTCTATTTCTGTTTCTGTAACCATTTAACATACACTAGACTAATGGTACTGTGATCGCTGTTGAATGACGGCCAACCATGGCGATTAAAACTAATTCTTCCTTCTGTTGATGAAATTCACATCCTGTTAAGTTTTACTTGGTCATGAGGTTATATATTTGGACATAAATACAATATTTTATAAGCTAAATCTTCAAATTTACGTTAATAAAATTTTTAACATATAAATTTTACCTTACTTCGTTTTAAAAATTTGATATCAAAACCATTCTAAGTAGATTTCTTGATAGCTGAGAAGCCTATATCCAGTATAAACCGCTATTCAGAACATTTTTGCTTTTACATACGACGAAATAATTTTTTCTCTAATGCAGGTTACTATATATAATCTGTAAAGAAAATTGAAACTAACTTAGTTCCAATTTTCATAGAAGTCATGTCATAGAAGAAGTCTCTTGTTTGTGTCCTCCTTCCGTTTACTTCTATTATACGCAACGGTTTAGGCTTCATTCCATGTCAAGACAACAATCTTTTTGAAAACTCACATTTGAACACACTCAAGGAGTGTTTTCTAACTATATCCATTTTCACCTACTAATTTGCTCGTCGTCTGTCGTTGTGACTTATCCACCTCCGATTATGAGTTTACTTGAGCAATTAAAGTTTGTTGAAATTTTTACAACAATTTTCACGGTGAACTGTAAGACTGTTGAGTTGTGCTGTTCCGTATTGAGAAGAATTCAATGCAGTCAACACGTTCAGAGGGCGGTTTGGTGAATACAGTCCTATTAATATATTTATAGCAGTTACTCAGGATATGGATTTGATTTAAGTGTTGTAATAGTCTGAAAATAGGCGTCCTCCTTGTAATGTTACAAATTGGTTGCGGTTTATGTTCAGCAGCGGACTTGTTAAATGCCGTAATGATGATGATTATAATGGCTGTAAAAATTATCACTAAACTTGTTTAGGTGTAATTAGGTCATTTTTTGGTTTTAGCATCGTTGTCTAGAGGTCATTGAGTGGAGCACTAATATATTTTATGCTTTTATATTTAAAGTTGTCAGTATTAAACAATTTTTGTCACGAAATTTGTTTTAAAACAACTATAAAAAAAAACTTAATTTGAAATTACTTTATATTTTGTATAATGCACCGTGTTTAAACAACATATACCGAAATAATCGATTCTTAATGTAGTTGTTCGCACCATTATGCTTTCTATTTAGTACATCATAAAAACTAAAAAAGAAATAGACTAATAAGCAAAAAAAAAATTTAAAACAAGATATTATTTATATGCTCTTAAAAAAAGAAAATAAACAATATAATAAATCAAACCCATCGATTTATTACATTCCACAATATATATAATATAAAAGCCTGTCGCGAGATTTACCTATTGTATAAAAAGCATTATTTTATCTCATAGTTACCTACTTATGTCAATTTCAAGTCACATATTATATTCTTGTTTGTATACACGGGTTAGACCTCACAATTTTTTTTTACTAACAATTTATTTTGTAGTTCTATCTGGACATATTTTTAAGTGTGTTCACTTCATTGTTTGCTTTTGATCGCCATCTTAGATCCGCCATCTTAATTTTTTTCTACCGCCAGCAGTTAACCCTTTTCGGTCCCTACAACATTATTTTAAGCACACCTACCATCCCTAACTTTTGCTGGGTTATAGCTCTTTCTCTTATTTAGTGTGGCGGGCATTTTGCCGCCTTTTTGATTTTTTTACCGCCGCCAGGATTTTTCCTGGGTCAATATCAGTTAAGACACGACCCCGAGTCTTACGCTTTAGGCGAACAGTACACCATCTGTCTCTCTTATTCTCCTTGTCACCTCTTGCAACACCAACGAGTACAAATTCAATCATTAATACATTTGTTAAAAGGCATGAAATACCGAATTATTTAATATTTAACTTATTTTAATTTAGAATTTACGATGAGCTGTGTATTATACAGATACAGTAACAAATTTAAACGAATATGCATTACTGAACCCACTTCGGCACAAAAAGTTTCATTTCATATTTAATTTATTCTCCGTCGTATAAAATAAGAACAAACGATAGAAATTACTATAAGTAAATAGCCCAGTAAGCATAGTTTCATGCATAGTAATGGATGAATAACCACACACAATGTTATGGGTACTCATACCTACCTTACCCAAATAATTCGTCTACACATCCCAGTGATTATCTTAGCAGAAATGTGTTATAGTGTCTACAAAATAGCTTATTCTCTCAAACTATAAAAACATTGCATAAGCACATTATTTATATCACTGAATAAGTATCTGATAATAATACATGCAATGCATTCAATCTATACATATAAAATGCTTTGTCCTGAATAACTGACTGACCGATCAACGCACAGCTTAAGAGCTAGTTTCACCATACGCTGTTTGTTAGTTTTAACGTCCAAGTAAATAGATAACAGCCCGTTAGGCGTAGTGAGTGTTTTACCACGTACTAACGAATGGTTAATTCTCTTAACAAGGCGTTAAACTTAATCACTGCTCCAAAGGTCCGTTAATGCTTTTAACGGCTGTCAAATTGGGTGTCAGTTGGTCAAATAAAATGGAAGCGGCGTATAATTTTATTTTTGAACACGAAAATGATGATATTTTAGAAAATTTAGTACGTTTAGATAATATTGTTCAACGTCCTAAAACATATAAAGAGCGACGTGATTATTTTGAAGAATATGACGATGTAGATTTTACGACAAGGTTTCGTTTGACGAAAGGATCTTGTATGGATGTTTTACGTATGATTGAAGATAAACTTGAATATCCATCAAATCGATGAGTACCTACTTTAACATTACCTTATTTCGTGAATTGTACCTATTAAAAATATGCTTGTTTTGTTGTCTAGAACAACTTCTTATGTAAGGTGTTTATTATTAGGTATTAAAATGTTGGGATGCTAATTATAATATAGTTTTAAAGCTCACACATTGTTTCCCCCTAGTAATAAGATCACTCCATCATCTCTACCGTGAATTTTACACAAACCTTCTAAAAAAAGAAAAATTTGTATGATGGGCATAGATGAAGCTAACCTAAAATTTTGTTTGCTTACAGAAACAAGTCGATTTCGCCAATAAACCAACTTCTTTTAACTTTGAGATATTATGCTACTGGTTCACAACAAATAACTATGGGTGATTACTGTGGAATGAGCAAGTCCACTTCTCACAGAATTATACATAGAGTTACTGCGGCTATAGCGTCACTCAGTCGCCAGTTTATAAAATTTCCCGTCTCAGAAGAAGAATTAAAAAAAGCACAATTACAATTTTATAACATAGCACGCTTTCCTAAGGCACTGGGTGCTCTTGATTGTACACATATACGCATTCGTTCTCCTGGTGGGGAAAATGGAGAACATTTTAGGAATAGGAAAGGATACATGTCTATAAATGTGCAAGCAATAGGAAATGCTAACTTAGAAATTTTAGATTTGGTGGCGAGATGGCGAGGAAGTAGCCAAGATCAAACTATTTGGAACGCATCCTACAGAAGCACTATATTTGAAAGTGGTCGATACCGTGATGCCTTTCTCTTAGCAGACAGTGGCTATATGAACCGACCATACATTATGATGCCACTGTAGAATACAATAACCCCAGAGGAGAGATTGTACAATGAATCTCAAATAAGAAGCAGGAACCGCATTGAACGCCTGTTTGGAGTATGGAAACGTCGATTCCCAGTACTTGCATTAGGTATACAAGTACAGTTAAAAAATTGCCTTCCTATAACTGTTGCTACAGCTGTGTTGCACAACATCTTAATAAAAGCAAATGAAGATTTGCCATCTGATGATCCGGAAATAAAACTACCGGCTCCATGGGAAGATTTAATAGAACAAGGGCATATTAGAGAGCACAGATATAGTGATAACATAAACAGAGACATAAATCCTGTGCGCAGAAGTCTTATTAATAATTACTTCAGAAGTTTGCATTTACAATCATTATAAATAAAAGTCATTTTATAGTGTAACCTCCCTTTTATTTCTTATTTACATTATTAACATTTTTTGCCAAAGATAACTGTAATTCTAACAGTTCCGTTTTAATTCTCTCTTGTTTAAGTTGCTCATCGAGTTAGCACATGTTCTGTGTTAAAATATACACTATTATACGTTAATTAAAGGCCATAGAGAACTGGCTAGTATGTTCATAATTACCACAGTTGAATAGCCAGGTACTGCATCTAATAATACAATGGTCGGTAATATTTCTGCTGAATCTTCCTTCACTTTATTAGATGCTGTGACAGACTCTTGAAATTGACCATCGCTATCAAATTCGTTTGCAAGACCATCCAATGTTGGGCCAAGTAATATTTCTACTTGCTCTTGTAAAGGCCCTGGTGGTAGATGATTGGGCCTGCCTCCACCTAGAAATAGCAAAGTATAGATTATGAAACAGTGTAAACATTAAAATGGAGCGTAAGTAGTCACTAGGCATCACTACAATCATTTCTGTTCGCAGACTAGGAGGAAACCACAGAATGAATTTTGGTGAGAGTTTACAGTCAAGAATAGTTAGGTATTCGAAATAAAGGTAATAAATTATTACTGCGCTAGAATTTTTGAAAGTATAACGTGTTATTAAGTTACAAATAGATCATACCTGTTAAGAAAATCTCCTTCTTTGTGGCAGCTTTGTCTTTCCTTGTCGTTCTTTTGAGGTTATCCCAACACGTTCTAAGTTGGTCCGTATTTCGGACATTGAAACTGCACAGGGAATTGAATTCTTCCGCGAGCACCTTCCAACCCTCATTTTTATGAGCAATCGTCACAGCATCTGTTTTTTTGTTTTCTACGACATCTTTATATTTTAGGATAAGTTCTATTAAAATTCCTTTTTCACTGGCGCAGAAATTAGGGCCGCGACTTTTTTTCGACATATTACAACACAAATTAAGTAAAACTTACTAATTATAAGTAAGTATATATAATGTACTCTGTGAAAATCTACAAGCGCGAAACCGAAAACATATGACGTTTTAGACGACCAACATAGAATTACACTGTCTACAGAACATTTTGTATGGGCACCATGACATTTTGATTTGCCTGCATAATAACGAGAGTGAAGTGCGAGAGAATGACAAGTCAAACTTGTCGTTTTTGTTCACTCGATCATAGATAATATCTACTTGATGTTTAATTTAGCAACGCCTTGTTTTGATGCCTCTATAGAACGTAAACCTTTTTGACGTCGACGTCAATTTTAACATTTGTTAATGGCTAATTAAGAATAGTTTGGTGAAATCGGGTCTAAACCGCTGACCGTAGAGACCTGAAACTTGGAGGGAGTGCTCTTTGTATAACTTAGGCATCCAACAAGAAAGGATTTCCTGAAATTTTACCCCTAAGGGGATGAAAAACGGCTGCAAAATTTGTATGGGCCAAAGTGATTTCTTTGTCCAAATCTAATTCGAATTTTGCATAAACATCCCTTAAGAGAATTGTTGGAAGACGTGACTCGTCACTGGGGTCAAAAAGTGGTAAAAGTTTATTTCGGGGGTAATTTGCATCGAAATTGATATCAACAATTCCTAGTGCTTTTGATTTAAATTACATTTTATTTTGACATGTTTAAAAACTCAAAACGTTGAACTCACTCACATGAAACGCCGATACAAGGCCACCTTTGTAGACCTTACCGAAGAGTATATAATCACTAAGTTTACTCAGAACCATAGATAAGAGTGCTCAGAATGATTTTTTTAATGTTATTTAGAAGAATACTTTACAATTAATTCTAAAATCTAAACACAATAAAACATTTATTTATAACACTATTTATATAAAACTAACCAACCAACTAAAAATTTCATTGGTGAACCCAAGTTGCTTGCATACTGTTGCTGATATAAATTATTTTTACTACTAATTTAAAACTTAAAACTTAAAATTTTTACTATAATTACTTTTTAAAAATTATGGTTATAAATTCGAAATTTTCCTTTTTCCGTAACAAAATACCAATGAGGGCATATCAAATTTCTTATTGAAATTTCCTTATTTACTTTATTTGGGCAATAAATTCAGTAAACAAAATTAATTAAATTATTTTGTTTTTTGTAAAGGAAGGCGAACTGACAATAAAAATAGAAAAAAAATCATCTGAAAAAATCATATAGTTTTCATTGTGAGAAAACGTAGTGATTATCCTTTCAACTTTCTCGGGATCAATAATGATGAGAAAAATATTGAAATAATACTAGTTTTTACGGAATTTATCGCGTATAATTTAACTTTTTAAATACTTATTAATTAGATGAGAAAAATAGTTAAGATGTTTAAACGCAATGGGTATTGCTAGACTTGCTGAAATAGACAAATTATTCCTAACATGCATGCCGGGAGCTTAAATCAAACACGATTATTACAATGTACAAGCAAGTTTACTCTGAGTCTGCTGATATAATCACCGCATCAGGAGACCGTGTTACGAGTTGACATACCCACGATCAACCTACATTACAGTTTGCGTTGAATTTCACAATTTATCCTCTTGTATGTATTGTACTATATTGTATTTATTATATATGAGTTAATTCTTTCAACGGATTTTTTAAAATTTAAAATGTGATACAGTAAATAGCCCAGGAACGTTTTACATACTTTCTATATCACAAAAATCGTAATTAACTATATACCATATATAATATGGTTAGTTATATTATAATACGTCAAAAATATTTTTTTGATATCTTATGAAAATAATAAAAAACTGCGGTTGCCAACCTGATAAGTTTTTCAAAAATGGGAAATTTCTCTATTAGGTAATCTACTAACAGATAACTTTTATTTGTAAACATTCCGTACAATGTAGATCAAGAAAATGTACCAATAATATATAAGATGGATAAATGAGAAAATGATGACTATATACAATTGTTACCCGGTCGTATGTCTTCCTGTCACACTGTCACGCTTAAACCAGTATTGCTGTTACATTCACGGTGACATGCGAAATGAATGTTTGATTAAAAGAAAATAAGTTGACAAATTTATTTGTGGGAGATTGTTATACCGCTATCTATTGGAAGCTCTAAGGTCTCTTTGGCAAATCCCATAGTCTCCTCTTGTTACGTGGTACGTACAACACCCATTGCTACGTGGTAAATCCATGCTACAGCTATATTGCAGTTGTAGCACGAATGGGTCGGCTTGACCGAGAAGAACGCTCTCACAGAATATCAACTTAAAATGATAGCATAATAGTGCTGTGTTTTGTATAATGGGTGTAGAAAACCGGTGACAATTATTACTGAAAATGGGGCATTCCATTTTGGTCCTCAGGAGTAACAGCGCATCTAAAGTTTGATTTTTAATCGAGGTTATATGTAGACGTCCATGGGCCACATTATTCACTTACTATCGAGTGTACCGTTTTTTCTTTTGTCACCCTTATTCAATAAAAAAACCCTAGGGCGAAAAGCGAGGTGATGGATACTAATCCCATTTAAAACCCATTCCCATTTTTCACACCACACGGGTTATTAGCGACAAGTATTAGTGCACTAATAAAGGTACAAGTAGTCGTATGTATAGTAAATTTTACGTCTAAAATGTTATTTCAGGTAAACATTATAATAACTTTTGTATAATAATTAAGAAATTAGAAATAAATATTTTGTACACATAAAGTGACACTTCCGCTCCGTACCGTTTCTTTTTTTGCGACCAATATAAATTTTGTATGTAAGGGAGGCAGATATTAACCAGTCATTCGTTTACCGCAAAAAATGTTTAAAATAAATGTTACGAGTATTAGATAATTAGATATTTCAGTACTTAAAATGATTTGCTAAAATAAGTGGGAAATCTAATTAATAATAACAGTATTGTGTCCAGCACTGTACACACGAGCTATAATGGTTAGCTCAAATATTAACGTATTTTACATAAACATAAACATTCACGCCTGTCTCCCGGACGGATAGGCAGAAACTACAGACTTTCATTTGGCACGATCCTGACAAACCTCTCACGCCTACTTCACATCCATATACCTACTCATACATGCTCGTCTGTTAAGAGTACTTAAATAAATAGAGAGTAAATAAATCGCTAATTTGGTCGATAAAATATTACCTAGGACGTCCCTTCCCGACTCTGGCATTCACTTCTGCAACATAAATTTTCTTTGACATACTTTCCTCATTCATTCTTTCCACATAACCAAACCACCAAAGCATTCCTTTCTTAATCCTGGTCACAACATCATCTTGCACAACAAATTCTCTTATCACACAGTTTCTCACCCTGTCACTCAGATTCAGTCTTCTCCTTAGCGACCGTATTTCTACTGCATTTATTTTGCTATCGTGTTTCTTGTCACACCCAACTTTCACTACCAAACGTAAAAGTAGGGACTAATACGGCATTGTTAATTGCCATACGTGCCTTTTTTGACACATTCTGACTTTTGACAATAGAGTATAGAGCCCCATTTACTTTATTTCCTTCATTCACTCGTCGTTCAATATCCTGATCATATCTCCCATCCCTGCTGAATGCACATCCCAGAATATACAAATTCATCTACTTGCTCGACCGTCTCCCCTTCTATTCTTGTTTCACATATCGTTTTACTTTCTTCTCTTTCAAAAACTATAACTTTCGTCTTACTTGCATTCACTTTCATGCCACTTTCTTTTAATGACCTGTTCATTAATTTAACCATAATTTGCAACTCGGCTGCCAACGACGCAAGTATGACTTGATCGTCGGCGTACAAAAAGCACATGAAGGTTAACTCACCCATTCTTAACCCGCATTCTTCAACTTCTCTTCTCTCTTCTCTTCTTTCACTTCAACTTCAAATTTTCCTAACAACTGTCATAAATAGGTTAAACAGCCACGGGAAGCCACACATCCCTGTATGACACCTTTATGGATGCCAAACCAGTCCGAGTAGACCCCGTTGATTCTAACACAAGCACTAGAGTCCCTATAAAGAGACTAAAAAGAAATCCAATGACTGTATCAAGCCAGCACTCAACCCAAATGAGTTCAGTGTTTGCCATACCACATCCCTATCCACTCTGTCATAGGCCTTTTCCAAGTCCATGAACGCACAAAAAACCTTTTAGTTTTTGGCCAAAAGCTTCTCCGTGATCATGCGCATTCAAAAGACTTGATCAGTACATCCCATTCCCTTACTAAATAATATATATATATATATCTGCAGTTGGAGTATGAACTCAAATATTGTCACCGGTCACCGATATCAAAAAATGCTCGGGGACTATCAGGCACCTTCAAGACAGCCATCTTATAAATAGCAGCAAAACTTTTTAACGTTACAACGTCAATTACTGCTGTCTAGAAAACCACACTGTTTTTTTATATTGACAACGTTATAGCGACGTCATTCGCAATTTTATTACGATCGTCATGTAGCGGCATTGCAATCCTAAGAAACCAGAGCTTAAGAGACCGGTACCTATCTAGACGGACTTCTGGACACAAAATTAGTCCTCCACCCACCTTAATTTTAATTATTTATATATAAAACTATCACAAATTACTATATACTAACAAATTCTTCCAAAATCATTAATTTTAAATTATGATACTTAACAGTTAATGTCACGTGTAAAGTTTATAAGTATCATATGTCACAAATCATACATCAAACTTGTCGTTGGGCCAGGGTTAGTTTACTCCTAACTTCTTGGGGCTTCTTTTTTTTTTTTCCTATCTTAACCCAATCCAAGGTGTCAAGTGTATCGTGCCGATGGATGCGTGGCTTGGAGGGAGTCCAGTCGCAAATAGTGCCTGTGCCTAACCGAGACCAGGGCGATTCGGATGGTATTTTATCCATTTCCTTGGCATGCGGAGCTCTGCCGGGGGCGACAGAATTTATCCCTAGCTAATGGTGGGAACA